AGCGAAGATATGACCAAAAAAAGACTTCGTCATTAGTAGAGCCATAAGAAACTTGAAAAGGGAAAATCAGCATAAAATTTTGCATTACTTTGCTAAAAATTAAAAAAAACCACCCTGTATACACAAACTTACCACAAGACATAACAAAATCGCCCAGTGCAATTTTAAAAAAAATGTTATTCATACGACTTTCAGAAACGGAATAATTTATGTTTCAGCGATAGGCTTGTTTCAGTTGACCAAGTTTTATACCAACAAAACGGTCCTGTGACCTGTAGTAATAAACAATCTACAATTAACTTAAATAAGAATATCTAAACATTTTTAGGTAAATATCTATAAATATTTCTGATGATTCAACACCTTTTGGTAAATCAATTGAATTTGTATAGTGGGAAATTTATATGGGGTGTAACAAACTTCTTAAGAGCGATATATTATTGACATATTTTATATATTCTTCACCAAAAATTGTCTTGAAACCTTCATTTTCCCGCCTACTTTCTGTCAGGAAATTTTGGTTTCCATGACAGAGGCAGTACAGACTACGTTTCCTGGCGCTTGTCACTTTACTGGCCGCACCTGTCACTTTACCGGCCGCACCGTCACTTTACCGGCCGGTGTGACATTGCTAAATGTCTATAATGACTACTGTCATCATTGACAGATTGACATTAATCATTAAAAATTGAAATGTTAAAATACGATTTCGGGTAAAATTTAATACTCGGAAATTAAAGTACTCGGCCCCAAAGGGGCCTCGTATTTCAATAATTCCTCGCCAGCAATGTGACATTTTCCTGACTTTTATAATAATATTAATAATAATTTATTGTCCAAACAGACTATCTAGTCTAAATACAGGACAAACTTAAATATTGTTCAATAAAAGCCGCGCAGAAATATAGAAAAATTAACAGAAATTGAACAAAAATAATTATAATGATAGATTTATAACTGAAGTGAAAGAAAATTGTTAACAGAGTTATACAATAAACAAAATAAAGTCATTACAATATTGGTGAATAAGAGAAATTGTATTAGTGCAATGGCAAAATCAAAAAAAAAGACAAAAATTATTGGATCATACTTATAAGGAATTTTAAATTAGTGTTAAAAATATCAACAGTATCGCATACTGAGTTATAATTATGACACATGCGATAAATTGGCGCATTTGGGAAGAGATTTGTCCTGCAATAGGGTAATTTAAAAGTTAGGAAATGCCTGGAGGAAGAACGAGTCACAGAGAAATTTAAATAATTGTGTAATGTGACACAATCAATTTCATTCCATAATAATTTGTACAAGAACGACACACTTATTCTTTTACGTCTGCTACTTAAGGGTAAAAGGTTGAATCTCTCTAGCAGTAGATTTTGTGGGTAGCCTCTTGTAGGGTAGTATCCATCACAGCGAAATGCTAGGTATTTTAAAAGACGACGTTGTATACTTTCTAGGTATTCTTCGTGTTTTTTAAATGCTGGATTCCATACTAGTACCTACACCATATTCAAGCTTGCTTCGTACAAATGTAGAAAAAAGTAGTACAACAGTTGACAAATTTGCAAAATCTGAACCAATGTGTATAATAAAACCTAAGGCTTTAAAAGATTGCCTAACAATTGTATCAATGTGTAAGCTAAATGTTAGCATGTAATCGAACAGAACCCCTAAATCTTTTGTTTGCGTGTCTCTTTTTAAGGGTGTATTTTGAATTTGATAATTGCATCGGATTAATCCACGCTTGCGTGAAAAAGTGACCACCTTGCATTTATCAATGTTCAGATACAACCTGTTTGCGTTACACCAATTATAAACACTTTCCAAATCGCTTTGAAGGCTCTCACAATCCTTGTGGCTTGTGATTCTAGTGAAAATTTTTAAGTCATCCGCGAACAATAATCTCTGAGATGAAATTACGGAGGGTAAATTGTTAATGAATATTAAAAAGAGAAAGGGACCAAGAGTTGACCCTTGCGGCACTCCTGATGTAGGAATAAATGATTGTGAGTTATGCCCGTTATAGGAAACAAATTGACGTCGGTTAGTTAGATATGATTTCATTAAATGAACAATATATCTAATATAATACTGAAACCATATTCAACAAGCTTGTTTAAAATAATATTATGATCAATTTTATGGAAGGCTTTGCTGAAATCTGTGTAAATAACATCAACTTGCTGTCTATTATCTAGTACTTCTGAACAATATTGCACAAAGCAAGTCAAATTTGTAACAGTTGATCTATTGGGAACGAAACCATGTTGGTAACTAGACAACTGCGTGTTAAATTGTTGATAAAGTTTTTTGTATAGTACTGTTTCAAAAACTTTGGAGAAGTTGCATAAAATAGATATGGGGCGATAATTTTCAACTTTAGATGCCAAACCTGTTTTTAATATCGGGCACATCTTAGCAACTTTCCAAACAGCTGGAAAAGTCCATTGTTTTAAAGATAAGTTAAGCAAAATTGTTAAAGGATATGTTAGAATACAAGAGCAATCTTTAATTAAAAAGGCAGGTATTTGATCAGTTCCGGCGGTCGGTTTGTTTTTTAAGCCTTTTATGCCTTCAATGACTTCCTGCTCAGAGACAGAATTAATATGAATATGAGGGCTGTTGATGTAAACAATATTAATTTTGGCACAGGGGCCTCCTTTTTCATATACACCTGCAAAATATGAACCGAAAATATCAACAATATTTTGTTTTTTTAGGTAAATAACTATTGCCCATTTTCCGTGTGCTTGTACTTGATTATTTAATTTGCTTTGACAAGGGTGATTAATTCTTGAATTTAACGTTGTGTTACGGTCAACCGTCTAACGCAACAGTTAATTAGATTAATTCGAATTTACTCGCTAGCCTCGTTCTTATAGATATGCTTTACTGGAGTATGGCATTTTATGTCAAAAAAATAATTCATAATTAAATTTACAGGTTTTTAACGCATTTTCCAAAAGGAAAATAAACGCTATTGCGCGCACTTTGTCCGTCTGTAGCTCTACTGGTCTTCCAGTTTAAGCTTTTTCGTTGTGGTTTCTTTCTTATACTGTGTAGTACAGCCCAGAGACCAGAACGACAAAAGCTTATTTGGCTTGGTCACTTTCTTCTCGAGTTATTACTGATTCTGTGCGGGGAAAATGCGCGTTTTGTTCGGTCGCGAGTGACCACGTTTTTAACTTGTTTTAATTTAATTTTCTTTACAAGTCGCTTTTTAACTTCGAGGATATCAGCGCCATATCAGGGTATCTATAACTCTCGCCAGGAAAGATTGCCGGTCACAGTACACCTTGTGTCGATTTACAATCTATGTTTTTCTTAAGATGCGAGTGACTTCCCGAATAGGATCGTGCCAATGTTGAACGAAAAGTCTTTCACACGATACTACACCGGAAGTCGCTCACACGTTTAGAAAAACATAGATTGTAGACCGGGATCAAGTGTTCTATGACCGGCAATCTTTCCTGGCGACAGGTTTATTTATTTATTTATTGCCCTACAGGTTTATCTCCCAATTACAGGACAAAGTAACAATAGTAAAGTAAAGTAGTGTACAGTGTAATCTATACTTAAACAAAAAAAGAAAAAAGTTCCAAATTAATAAAATAGATCCTAACATACATAAAGAAAATAACAAAACAGAGGGACATAGTTATTACATTAATTACAGAATAAATTTGAGGCTATCATCGCGTGTATGTCACACATCTGGCAAAATGAAGTTTATCTAACAAACAAAAACATATTTGGCAAAGGAGAACATAGTCAACATAAAAAGGTTAAATTAATTGGCACATTGATATGCTTTTGGGAAAAGCTATCATTATCACTTTTCTGCATTCGGCGGAGCATTAAAATCTCCTCGAGGTCCTTTTCAGTAGTGGTTTGCTATTTAGGAGATACATACTGCATATAGTGGGCTGATTGTACTCTTAGGGCCGCGGCTTCATTAGAGCGGTTTGCAACTACGATAAATATTCTTGAAATATACAGAATGATTAGATTAGCATTTCGAAAATGCTCAATTAAACTAAAAGATTCTTATATTACCGCTATTACAAAGTTACAAATCTAAAATTTTACATGTGAACCTGCAAGAGATATTAGAAAATTTGAAATTTAGATTTTATGAGTAATACTTTAGTTATCCGGAAAATTATGTATAAAAAATAATGGAACTTGAAAATAATCCCGTGACTTATTAAACAAACATCTTTATCGTGCAATTACATGCTCCAAATGCACATTTATTCATAGGTTACCCAGGTATGTTATTGATTATTATTTGCACTTTATGAAGGAAAGCAAACACGTTTTGTCTTGATCTTAATAAACTCGGACTTTAACTAATGAGCCTTTTAAACTAATCCAAACATCCTGAATGCGAAAGCAATTACGATTTTTCTCCTCCGCGATGCGAACAATTTAAAAGCAGCGTTTTACATGTTATGAAAGAATGCAATTCATAAATTTGTTATTGTAGCAATCGAGTGCACCAAATGCTTTTGTAGTTTGCTCGAGGCCTGATAAAGTAACTTGTAAGGATAGATGGCTACAACCGACAGATTAGTTAAGCAGGGTTATTAATGACTATGTTTAACCTTAGCAACCCCACCTCGCAACAATGGCCGAAGTTTTTTTAACGCTAAAATATATACGAGCCCAACTGGTCGCCATACATTACCTCATTGCAATAATTTCGCACCAAACTGCATTCGTTTATCGCAACCTAATGGCACACCATACGGTAAATGCGCTCATCATCATCAAGTGGATAATATTAATTACCGCCCAGCCCAAACAAAAACTACTACTAATCGAGTAGGCGTGGGGATATTTTATTAATTTTTCATTTTTGAAAGTTAAATTAAAGGTGCTGAATGAAGACCAGTCGAAAGTTTTATGCCTCATACCAAATTATTGTTATACTAATTTAACTTCATTTATAGAGGTATAGGACACAGCTTTCTCATACTTTATTCTCTTTTCAGTTATACGAAATTAATGACGACCCAAAAAGGAAAGAGTTCCTCGATGATCTCTTCTCATTTATGCAAAAACGAGGTGAGTACATTTACGATTGTTCTATTTTATACTTAATTACGTTACACGATTACAGTTTTTTGCTTCTTATTTACTAGCAACGATATCTAAACAGCAGAACTTTTTCAACCATCAATTTTTTCACTAAAATGTATACATGACACAATAAATGAGGTTTCATTCTACCGCAAGAAAAGCTGCTATAAACCTTGCCGTTCAATTACTATTAAAAGCGTTCCCAATAATTTGGTACATCTTTTATACCAAACATGAGCTTTTCCACTACAACTTCCCCATGAAGGAAGCCCTAATTATATGCTCAAAAAACGGTATCGAACGTATCAAAATTTTTACGCTGAATTCTCTTATCTCAGAAAACATTTTTCTACGAAAAACACTGAGTTGTTGCCTATTACAACGCATTTATATCGCTAATAAATTAAATCATCTTTTTAAGAAAAGTGATAAAAGTGCCCGTAAATTAAATCAGAAGTGTCACTTAAACGATAATATAACAAAGCAAAATTGATAACAAAAGAACCGATAAATTGACCTACATTTAACAATTTTAGGAATTAATCTTTAAAAGAAAAAACAATCCACTTGGATACAACTAGAAACGAAATAATCGTTTTGTATTTAAACGTAAAGAACCCAACAGAATAATTAAATAATTTAAGAAGAAAAATTTCACTAACAGTTAATGACTCGTCAGTAATTCAAGCGTCAACGTCCACATTAACATTGTTTACATAGCAATGTATTGTGCAGATGGTCGTTACGTAGAGAAAAATTTTTTGGAAGCTTGTACGATATAGTTCGGACGTTGAAAATTAAAGAAAAGCGTCCTGGCACATGTTGCGACAGTTCGCCATCATGTGGTGAAATTACTGAATTTCCATTAAATTCAATTTAAGTTTGGATTACCTTTAAGTTTGGGTTACATTTTTGAAGGTTGTACTATGGAGAAAATTAAAAAACGTCATTTTTTTAAATTGACTTACTGTCGAAACATGTAGCAACTAATGGTGGGTTTATACAATATTATCATTAGTTCACTATCAAAAATCATTAAGAAATAGCCAATAGAAACAAAGGTTTATTGTGCGTTGCTAACCAACAAAACCATCCTAAGCTTAGTGCACTAATGGTAATGATTGTATAAACCCACCATAACACAACTCTTTAATTTTTTTAAGTAAGTATTAAACGAGTACGGGGGAGGTTTAGACTCTTTTTACTTTTCAATTTAATTCAACTCCATTTGGAGTATGTATCAGAATGGACCTAATCAACTGCAATTTCTCCAAATATCTTCTTTACTAATATCATGTTGAATGCGACTTCGGTCTTAAAATTATCGCAAAAATAATAACAATTAATTGAATTTTCGAAGTCGTACCAAAAAAAAAGGATTAAACATAATTATTACAATCACGCCAGCCCGTAATAATATTTCTAAAAACGGTAATAATATCCTTCAGTTTAATAGTAAGCTAATAACGCCAACAATAAATTATATGCGGTGCATTGGCAGACACCAACTGGTATAAAAATATCTAGACGGAAAATTGTCCTAATTATATCGTGACCCAAAGGAATCGTGCCGTTATTAAAATTATTAAAATACTAGTAATGTAATATTATTCGAGTTGTTTGCATTTCTCAGAAAAACAGGATCGCGCCCGAACTGCAACTGTTTACAATGCATGGGCGTGCATTTACTGACGGCATATTCGATTTAATTCGACATATGGATAGCTTCAAAGGGATGCGCCGGTAAATGGCATTTAATAGTACGTAACACTTACTGTTGGGTATAGACAAGTCGTAAACAATAAATATAATGAAAGGTTAATTGCGAAAACCAACTGTACGCCACTGAAATATGCATTGTGCAGATTTGCACGCGAAGTTTTCAAACACGATACCTTCACCTCTTGAAGGTGTTTATATTTGAAAAGCTTAAAAATTGAAGAGGACAGTTTACAGAAGACTATTGATACGAAAATCTCGGGATGGATTGAGAAATGAGGCCTAATGTCATGTTACACGCTCCTCATCTAGAAAAATTACTAGAATTAAACTTTTACCCGGTCATTATTAGATGATTATCGCATTACCTTTAAAAAAAGGTACAGGGCTACTGTTTAATTCAGTAAAATCATCTACATCACAGTGACTAGCAGTAAACATGGTGATTAAGCAGAAGTGGATGCGAGCGAGAGAGAGCCTAATTTAATTATAAGCAGGGTGAGGTAGTTTGAGGGTTGTTAATGCCAACATGCCCAATTTTAAACCGGATACAATAGAGACTAATAAATTATAAACAAACTTTCATTTGAATAGTTTGGGACAACAAAAAATGACATTTGGAAATTGATTTTGCCATCCGTACTTAAAGTAAGTCGAATGTGGGCAGTTGACCTTCGTTTTTGTGACACTATTTATCTTAAGGATTTATTCGGAAATCGACATTTCGAAGAAAATATCCTTAACAGCCCTTTTCACCGTGGGGGGCGCAATGACGTCACGTGCTTTTAAAGCTTGTATTCATCGGAAATTACACATTTTATGGTATTCTATTCTACTTGGAATCGGGGTAGGTAATAATTTTTGAGATTATCTTTAAAAGGACGGAAACAATGTAAAATTTGTTGACAGATTTTCTAAAAGGGTATATTGAGACATTCATGCTTCGATAATTCGCCGTTTTGTTTTCTAGAAGGCGATTGTGAAGTAAAAGTTAATCTTCGTAATTTTGCGTTAACAAATTCTCGAGCTGATTTACGAGACATTTTGTTCTATACTTATGCCAAAATCCAAACTGCAATTTGAAAATTCTGAATGCAATAATAAATTATAAGTAGGTTGATATCTGTCACTAAACGAATTACTGAAATTGTCTTCAATTGCAATACGTATGGTAGGTTTCCATGACAAAACAGGTGACAGAAGTTTTTTGAAGCATTCGACTTTTTTTATCTTCGTACACTGTAGCTTTAAGGCCAGCGTTCACTTACGCGCCAAGGAGCGCGGTGTGGCGTATGAAATCATAAGCGAAAAAAGCGCTTCATCGCGCCTCGCGTAAGTGAGCGTCGGCTTTTAGGACAATTTTCTTTTAATTGCATTATGGCAGCAATTTGTTCACTTTTGAAAATAAATAGGTGTTTCACTAAAACTAAAAATTTGGTTCCCACTATACCAAAACTACGTCCACGAAATTGAGCGCGTCCAACGCTTTTAAAATACCTATGCTACCGAGAAGATGGATGTTATCCCCCAAGAGGTTTCTCTCAGTCGACTATGTGTGCGCGGTTTGAACTTCTACCTCTTAGTACCAGAAGAAAGCGGTATGTGTTACCTTTCTCTACAAACTTTTGTCCAATGTTATCGATTGCCCCTCTTTACTAAACAAAATCAGGTTCCGCGTTCCAAGATTGTCGTCAAGATGCACAGCAACATTCAACCCGTTTAGATGCAGAACTGCTGCGTTACAGAGACCACCAGTTCATTTAGTGTGCTCACTAGTGAACGAATTACCTTCCACCACGGATATATTCAATATTACTTTAAACGAACTGTTACAATTCGTTGAATGAAATTTAGTTGTATCAGAGTTGAATTTTTAGATTTTTTGTTTTTTTTTGGTTTTTTTTCTTGAATAGTTAACGGATCGCAATAACTTTAAGATTTCTTTTTTAGATATTGTCGTGTTGTAGAGTACTTACTTGTTTGGACAATAAATATTATTATTATTATTATTAAAACAGGATAAAATATTAATTGATTTTAGGATCAACTAAGTAATTCTTATGGTCATAGTTATACATTTTGAACAAATTTTCGAAACTTAATTGTGACTAATCGCAAATAGATAGGAGAATGGAATGAAGTAGTTTCGCTATGTTGTTGTTTTCTCTCTTTAATTTTCTAAAAATTTGTTCAAAATTCTATAAAAAAATCTTTACGTGTCCTGTAACGGCTTAGTTACATTTACAGGCATTGAAGACCTCACATGCATAAAATAATTTTTAATCTACGGCACTGGTAAAAATTGTACTGTAACAATTAATTTTTTGTCATGAAATTTTATACCCACGGCTGGCTCAGTAATAAATAAACTTCTAATTACCTATTCTTACCTTGCGGAAAGTTACTTCTTTATTTCCCCTTATAATCTGGAAATCAAAACTGATGCTCTGGTTTGATCACTCAAATAAATACTCATGTAAAGTGTATGGTAGAACGCCTTGTGTAGTACAAATGGACCTTTTGTATCGGCTCACGCCTGGCAAATTTGACAATAGTATTTATTCTGATATTGCAATTAATCGTTTTTAAACTTTTTACCGGTTGCCGTTTAATCCAAAGTGTTATTATCGTCCCCGTATAAACAACGGGGGCACAAATTTAGTTATTAAACTGTTTTTAACGCGTTTTAAAAAAAAGCGCTTATTTATTCAGTGTGGCTGTTCGATCGGCCCGTCCGTCGGTCGGATGCAAAGGTTTTTCTATATATATATCTCGAAGGAATCATTGTAGAATGCTAGGGTTTGAAGCATTAGCTTTTGGGCATGCAGACTATATTTCAGCGCTAATAACACCTCGATCCGTCGAACAAAACGCACTTAAGTTACCCGACGCATCGAGTACTTGCCAACTTGTTTTTTAATTGTAACTAACCACTCCCTGTACTTTTAACCCCAATGCTTTCGTGGTAAAATTTATTTAAGGGTTGGTTCTCCTTTAAATGTGACAGACGGTCTTTAAATGTTTGTGCCTAAAGATAAATAAAGCATAAAAACTTTGCATTGAGGTACCAATTTGTGTCAAACCTACTTTATTTTGGTTAAAAAATACGCGCACAATTTTTACTGTTATTTCATACTTAATTGTTACACCCAGTACAACAATATCCCATGTGCGTCTTTCTGACTTTAAATAATTCTGGCTTCTGCCTATACTTTTTTATCGCATTTTGCAAAAGGAAAATGAACGCTATTGTCCGCACTTTGTCC